CTCCCTCCTCCCGAGTTTTCCCTCCGCCCTCCTCCCCGCTGGCTCTCCCCTCTGCAGCCTCCTCTCCTCGCCCACACTCGCTTTCGCCCTGGCGCCCGCAGACGCATCCTCCCTCTGCTCTGCCTCGCTCGCTCCCTCTTTCTCTTTCACTTTGGCCGGCCCTGCCACCTTTTAAAATGTTTCCCCTTCCCTGTGATTCGCCAGCCGCCGCGCCGCGGCCCCCCGCGCGCTCGCCCGCGCCCTCGCCCGCCCGCTTTTTGTCTCGCGCGCGCCCTCGCCCCACCTCCGATTTGCTACACTGAGGCGCCGTCAATGGACTGCATTGAAAGCCGGCTCCGGCGCGAGGGGCCCGGGCGCTTCACGCCGCATTGCCGGGCATTCTTCCCGTATTAAGTATTCGTGTCATATTAATAGTCATGAATATCTGCTATTAGGAGGCTCCCGGAACGCTGCCCGGCGCGGGTGTTAGAAGCTCCAGCGAAGCCGCCGCTCAGAAAAGGGACTCGGATTCAGGCACACGCACGCACCCACCCATCCACACACACTTTTTTCCTTCTTCTTCCGTGTTGGGGCTTGCACATTTTTATTTTTTCCTCCCTCCAAACAACTTTGCATCCGAACCCATCGCGCCGGGATAGAGACTGACTGTGTGACCAACTGGCGGCGCAGCGCGAATCACCGGTGGTTCCAGGTCGGATGGAGCCGAGCGGGGCACGGGCGCCCGGCGGAGCCTCGGCGCCGTGACGCGAGTCCTGGGTGGCACGGGGCTCGCGGCGCCTTTTGTGTGGGGCGCGCTCGGGCGGCGGGGCAGCCGGGTCTCCAGCGTGGCTGGGTCTTTTCCGCCCTGACTCGTTAGCCCAGACTCCGCGCAGATGTTAGTTCACAGTTTTTCAGCGATGGTGAGTCCCACTCCCCCCTACCCGCCCCTTCCATCCCCGTTTCTTTAGGAATTCGGCTCTGGAAACCTGGGGCTGCGAAGCTGCCCGAGACCTCCGGGTTCACTCCCAGGCTTCCTACTGGGCACCTCCTTCCATTTGCACCCTGCCATCCCCTCCTTTGCCCTCTCTCTTTTCCATCCTTCTGTCGAATGCATCATTTCCCCCCATTCGGCCTCTTCCTGCCTCGCAGACCTACCTCGCTGCCGCTTTCTCCAGGCGTTTTGTTCCCCACGCTCCTCTTTATTTCCTCCAGTCTCCTCGGGTTCAGATTTGATGCTTAATCCGTAGGCAGGAAAAATGCAACCCGGTATGCCCGGTGCCCTCGGGGGCCCTTCGGTACCTCGGAGGGTAAAGTCCCTGGAACCAACTCCGTTCACTTGTTTTGCAAGCAAATTGCTAGAGAGAAACTTAAAGTCGGGTGTTTCTTCTGCCCTCTGGGGCCGGGGTGGAAGGGGCGGGGGTGCCTCCGCCCTGGGGTGCACCTCTCTCTTTTAAACCAGATAAGGCTCCATCTTTTTATTTCAACCCCCTACTTGCTATCCCCACCCCCCCCACACCACCACCCCATTCAAACCATACATAGACCCTGCGGAGGGAAAGGCTCTTAACAGAGGAAGCGGGATAGACCGACCCCTGATTTTTCTGTTAAAACCTTCTCTACACGAGTCTTTTAAACGTGTGGGTTCGTTACAGCTCCACTGCGAACTAAGTTTCTATTTAAATAGTCGTGAAATGGTAGCAGCCGCTGAAGGTTTATGATTTTTCCCTCCAAAGAAATGGAACAGGATAAACAATAACGCAGTGGCTGGCAGGTTCAAGTCTGGTGGGGGGGTGGGGGAACGGATAAAAGGCCGCTTCTGTTGTTTAATATTTAGTAGGAGTTGTAATTTTGCTTAAGGGAGGTTTTACGTTGCGGCTTGACGGGTTGTGTTCCTGGGGGCCGCTTTCTGTCCTTTTCCTTCCCTCTGAGAGATGCCTGCGGAGAGTTTCCTGTGCCCGCACATTTGGGCAAATCCCACTGAGCTTTAGAAGGGCTCTTTCGCTTCTGGGGTATTTCCCAAAATGAACACCTCATTGCTGATGTCGTCCCCCACCTCCTCCCTGGGTGAGCGTGTTTCTGGTGGCCCACTCATTCCTCCCCAACTCGTTCTCTTGCAGGACCGCCACGACGGCACCAGCAACGGGACGGCACGGTTGCCCCAGCTGGGCACTGTAGGTCAATCTCCCTACACGAGTGCCCCGCCGCTGTCCCACACCCCCAATGCCGACTTCCAGCCCCCCTACTTCCCCCCGCCCTACCAGCCCATCTATCCCCAGTCGCAAGATCCTTACTCCCACGTCAACGACCCCTACAGCCTGAACCCCCTGCACGCTCAACCGCAGCCGCAACACCCGGGCTGGCCGGGCCAGAGGCAGAGCCAGGAGTCTGGGCTTCTGCACACGCACCGGGGGCTGCCCCACCAGTTGTCGGGCCTGGACCCTCGCAGGGATTACCGACGGCACGAGGACCTTCTGCACGGCCCACACGGGCTCGGCTCAGGACTCGGAGACCTCCCTATCCATTCCTTACCTCACGCCATCGAGGACGTCCCGGTAAGAGGCCGCCCAAGCCGCTGGGAACGCAGCCCCTACTCACCTACATAGGATTTGCATACAACCGGTGGGCCCAAGTTTTTCTCAATGCTATTTATTTTTTTAAAGTGTGTGTGTGTGTGTGTGTGTGTGTGTAAGTGCTTTGAGGATCCACATAGACAACTACATTTAAAAAATTTTAAAGTAATTGAGGGCTGTAGCCCTAGAACAATGGTTCCTGGGATTCCCTTGAACAATGCCGGCTCTGCCGATTCCACCAACACAGAAATCGATCAGAAGGATGTCACCATTAACAATATTTCCCCCTTGTGATGTAAATAGTTTGCATTGGGAGAGGATCTAATTCCACCGCTGTGTCTGGCTGTGGGGATTTCTTCCTGTCCTGGGAAAAATGTTAAATTCAAGTGGGGGAAAAAATACCCATTATATGCTCTCCAAATTAAGCAAAACAAAAAGTGTAAAGGACGTTGCTAAGAGAGTAATTTTTTAGCAGGACTTTCATGAGCACTAGTGAAACCCCAAAGTGATGTATGCACCCTCTCCTGATTAAAGAAAAGCAAGCAGCAAATCTGAGCACAGTGACTTCTTTCTAGGGGTGCTAAGTGGTGACCTCATAAATCATTAGCTGGGTTCCCAAGGCCTATCAGAATCCGCTATACCCCATATTAAATTAAATGTTTTGAAACTGTTGGGTAATGCGTTATTTGAGTTCTAATTCAGTTATCAATAAATGCAGTTAAAAATGACTTCTAAATAAGCATGACATTAGCACATCTACTATTTACAATGAAAACCAGGCTATTGATAATTTGAAAATACTTTTCTGAAATTAAATTTGAGCCAGCATCCCCGCTTCAATTCTACATATTTATGGTTCCCTCACAACCCTCCCGAAATGGAATTAGAACAAGCCAATGATTTTATTAAAGCTGCAAAGGCTTCTGTTCAAGCTCCTTTCCTTTGGAGAGGAAATGTATCTGGATGTGATTTTTGCTCAAATGCTATTTCAAATGACTGCATCAACTATTGCAGCAGTATGTCCCTTGACAGTTTGATGATGACCGCATTAGATTGCAAAGGAAGTGGTCAGATGAACTTACCTGCTTACTTGGTGAATTTAAAACGTTGTTTAAGTTGCATAGAAAATTTACTGCATCTCTCTTTGGCTCGGTTAATCACGGAAATTTCTTGGTTGTGCTTAGCAGGCTTGCAGGGAAAGCAGGAACGTAAGCATTTAATCCAGGTGCAAGACTTAGTAAGCATTTTCTGTGTATCGGCTCGGATGTAAATGTTGGAGACATTGATGCTTAATATTTTTGAAGTCAAATATGAGGAGCCAAGTACTTTAGAAGAGAGGAGACGTTTTTGTTTGCTTGGTTTAAGTTGAAAGTTGTGATTGTCTTAGTGCTCCTTCCCAAAGAGACTGGGAATCCTGGTCCTTGTCAGGCTCTCTGGAAATATTTGAATTGCAAAATAATGTTGCAAGCTTTTGGAACAATTAGGATGTAGAATCAAGCGCGTTACTTTCTGAAAATTCCTAGATGGCTGGTGGGAATTCCTAACACCTGGATAGTCTCTTTTTGGGACGAAATTGGTCAGTTAGGAGAAATTGACCAAGAGATCAAATGAAAACAAGGAAACCCAGTTGCAACTCTTCCCTCTCCCTCCCCCACCTTTTAGGAAAAAAAGTCTTTCAAAGGAATTTGGGTCAGGAAAAGAGTTGTTTTCAATTTTCCCACCACAGTAACAGTTAACCTTTGGTAAGAATGGCTGTGAAATACTTAAGAAAATCAAGTCGATGGGGGAAATTATTCAATCATTAATATCTCAGTGGGATTTTAAACTTAACAGTCTGCCCTGTATGGACAGGTTCAGAAATAATACAAATAAAAGTATTATGCCACACTATGTTTGCTTTATGGGTTTAGGGTGCATGCATAAAAGGATCATATTTCCCCATATAGTTAAAACACAAGAACTGCAGCAGTAGTCATTTCTGAACATTTCTCAATTTAATTATACTTAAATCCAGAAGCACTTTAGGCAAGTTACAAATGAGAGCACTGAGTATAATAAAACCTGTAATAAAGCAACTTAGTACCATCCACCCGGAATCATTGCGATCAGGCACAATTAACAGGAGCATAAATCCAAGACAGAATGGAAAATGTTTGAATCAGTATTATTGTTGGACAAAAACTACAGAAGGAAGTAATAGTTTTTTAAATGGTAATGCCTGTGTTTGGTAACGGTTGCAAAATCTTCTATCTCAGCAGCCCTGGTGCTAATTTGTAAACACAGCCAGACATTATATTGCCTGTCAGTTTCTGCATTAGAAAACATGATTTCATTTTACTTTCTAATCACGTTTTGACTCTAGCACACACACCCATACCCATCCATCTGTTATAAAAATAAAAAGGACAACATACCTGCTAGTGGACAACAGGAAAGCAACCTCAAAGGGTTTTTGTTTGGTTTTGAATCTTTTCCATATTCCTGTGTGATACTCACTTTAGACAGAAGTCTTTAAAAAACCAAAATCCCCCTAGTTTTCCCTAAGGAAAGGTGTGCATATACATGAGCTCTTTATCACACTACCTAAAACATTTCCAAACGGTTTCAATGCTCCCCTGCTCCTCCCACCCGATATTTCTATTGTGTTTCTCTGGCTTTTGCTGCCTCAACACTGGATCGCCCAAGTCCATAGCTGCTGCGGCACCACTTTAAAGCTTGGTTCATTTGTAAAGGTTGGACGGACTCTGAAAGATTTGGTACTCCAGAACTTAATTTAATTTCCAAAGAAAGTTTTATTTCCCACCCCACCTCCCCTTTCCAATGTGGATGGTTGACTGGGGGGAGGGGGAAGAGAAATTGGCCGAGGCTGTGCAGTGAAACCTCTTGAGTTGCAAAGCCCCAGATTCCAATAAGCCAAGATGAGATGTTTATATATAAATGTCATTATAAGGGAGGAGGAATTTCGATTCTACACTTTCCCCTCCCCCTATTTTGCAAGGAATATTCATTTCCTTTTGTTTTGATTATACACTTACATCCATGTGTATCCTTTTGTTGCAGCATGTAGAAGACCCGGGTATTAACATCCCAGATCAAACTGTAATTAAGAAAGGTAAGCCATTTCCTTCTGCATTCCAAGCATGTCCTTACAGGCACAGTGCTATTTAAAAGAACTTGCAGAGCTGTATTTCTTTTTTTCAAATAGGATTTCCTAAAGGCTCAGAATTCGCAAACAGATAGGCCTAGAACAGCAGTGCTTTCAGGATTGGCTTTCTGTATGTTAGTAATGGCAACAGGCTTGCTTTGTTTTTACTTTTGATTTGACTATTTAATCTAGTTTACTGTGATCAGGACAAACACATACACGGTGCAATACTTGAACTGATTTGGAAGTTACATTTCAATTCTGAAACGGCTTAATAGGTTTTAATCCATTGTGTGCATGTAGAGAAATGTAAATGTAAAGTATGACAAATAATATCAAAATAGGGACAATTGAGTAAAACAGCTGTCATGAACAGTGAAAATGAACAAATTTTCACGTTCTTCAAAGAAGCTTATTAGTTGTTTAAGGGTTTTAAAACTTTGTGAATTAGGTTAAGGAACATTTGGCTGTTGGTTTAGTTAAAATGAGCCATCTTCAGGGGATGTCAAGATTAGTTAGCATATTTGTTGGGAGCAGAATTTGGTAATACAAAAGTGTCAAGCGATATGGATGGCTTTTTAATTTGCATTGTGTTTAGTGAATAGAAATAAAGTTTACTGGAATAAATGCTATTCACTCATTGGTGGCAGGCTGTTTTCGTTTTTGTTTTGGGGGGCGATTTTGGTAGCAGCAATGTTAGGTTTCAGGCTTCTAGGCAACCACCAGAGGATGATGCTATATAAAACTGTTCTCATTTCTAACCCCAATCAGTATATTGTTAACTAGTTTAAACTTTCATTTTTGCATCTGTGAAATCTTTGTCACATCAAATTAGATGTGCAAGGGATAAATCTTAAGAGATGCTCTTTCCAAGTCGACATGGTAATTGGCTCTTTTATTAGTAATCTCTCAAGAGTTCGTTTAACTCCTATTGTCTCTATTAGCCTCCCCAGAGCTATTAATGTCACAAGTGATCTATCCAAAACCTAGAGCTCCCCCCCCACCCCCTACTTCTAGAATATCCCCATTAAGGATCACATAAGGGAGGAGTACTTTGATGCGAATGTGTGCATATTATTATATATGTCTCCAGGTGGCATTTTAAAATACAAATGCATACTGTACTTCAATAGTTGTGAATGCATCTGACTTGGAGTGGTTTTGAGGAATGCAACATGAACGCAATCTCTGCTGGGCTTGAATTTTTTAAGGTGGGTCAAGGAAGCTTATGGGTTTAACTAGGAAGTAAACACCCCTGATCCCTTTCCAATAAAGCAACTTAACCAGAGTTCAGGCTATGAAGTATTTTTAAGAAAAGTACACATTGCTAGTACTCTTGCTAGGCCTGGTATTCATCGCCTCTCAGATAAAAACTCGGCTTGAAATGGATCTCAAAACCCTGAGTCTTTTCAGAAGACCATAAGCAGGATTGGGGAAGAAAAGGGGATGGGGGTGGTAGTAAGAGAAGGGGCATTTGTGATCACGGAGACTACACAGAACACACATCCCTCAGTCTGGTGCCTTTTACTGAAATGCTCATTTACACGAAATCATCCCGCTCAAAAACCCTCCAAGCACACGACTTGCTCTTCGTTTACAAGTCTACTGCACCCTACACCTTGACTCCATCACCTTATGTGGGGCCCGCTCTCCTCGGATGCCGAGTGGGTCACAATTCATCACGGTCAGTGAACAGAAAAAGGGTCCAGGCAGAAAGGCAGGCCCGGCCAACTTGGAGGGCAAGGAAGAGGACGGGGAGGCTGTACCGCCTGAAAGCCTGCCATGCGGGGAAGCGCTAGGGACGGTGCCAAATAAGGGGGCGGGGGGGACGAGGGTCATCGGTGGCCACACGAAGCCTTCCCGTGTTTCTCCGCAGGCCCCGTGTCCCTGTCCAAGTCCAACAGCAACGCAGTGTCCGCTATTCCTATTAACAAGGACAACCTCTTCGGCGGCGTGGTGAACCCCAACGAAGTCTTCTGTTCAGTTCCGGGTCGCCTCTCGCTCCTCAGCTCCACCTCGAAGTACAAGGTCACGGTGGCGGAAGTACAGCGGCGCCTCTCCCCACCCGAGTGTCTGAACGCGTCGCTGCTGGGCGGAGTACTGCGGAGGTGAGGCTCGGCCCCGCCCGTGCGCGGCCGGCAGACTGCGCATGCGCCGGGCGGCGGCGCCGGCGCCACCCGCCCAACTCGCTCGGCGGCCCGCCCTTCGCTGGAGAAGAAAGGGGCGGGAAGACCGGAGGAGAAGCTCGAGTGGGTGGAGCCAGGGGCGGGGCGAGCGGACCCGCGCCTGCGCTCTCCGTCATCGTCCCGCGCTCTGGGCCCGGCGCGCGCTCTCGCCGCGCACGCGCATCTGCCTGCGCCGCGGGCTCAGTCCCGGCTGCTGCAGCCGTGGGGCGCCGTGCAGCCGCCTTTCCCTCTTCGCGCACACCTCGCGAGCCGAGGGAACGTTTCTCTCCGTTCTCGCTCTTGTCTTCCTTCGCCACTCCGACCGTGCGTTCAATCGAGTTCTAATAGAAGAGCTTTTTAATAAAAGAAGGCGGTCTCTTCCTCTCCAGTCCACGCGCCACCACCGACCATGCCACAGGCGCTCGTGTTTCATTGTCCCGATTCCGTGGGACCGTGAGGTGTGCATTGAATGCCCAGATTTCTTGGGGCCCTCATGTGTGCCAGGCTGTGCAAAAGTTGACATGCATTGTCTGTAGTCGACATCGGTTGCACCCTTGGCCGAGGGTTCTCTCCTACCCCTGGCAGGTGAAAAAGCTTTTAGTGGGGTAAGTTTAGGGCCTGAAGAAAAGCATCCTCCTTCATCTCCTGCAGCTTCTCCCTCTGGGGCAGGTGGGCTTCATCCTCCCATGGGGTCTGTTCTGCGTTGCTGTGAGTGGAGGCTCTTGGATTGAATTTACCCATTTTCCTTTGCTTAAACAAATTTTTTTTCAACAGACCAAGAACTTCATTCTTTTGACATTTATTCATTTATTGATGTTGACCCCACCCCCAAAGTTTTGCTTTGATGTGTGTATCCCAATGCAAAGCCTATAAAACCAAGTTTGAGAGGTTTTAATATCAGCTGTTCTGATCTTTTCCTCCCTCCCTGACTGACACTGCTTCTCCTTTGTAATCATTCCCTGACACAGACTTTTATTCTGCCCTCTGCCTCCCCTCCCCCCTCAATGTTGGAGACTGTTTACCTAGGGGAGTTTAATCTAATCCACACAATTAAAGAGCACTTGAGTAGGGAATAAAATCTGAAATTAATTAATTTGCTGTTTTATTTAAACAATTTATCTTAACCACTTTCTGATGATGGGAGTCTATTTAGACATCTAGTTAGGACCGCCGGCATTGTCCCTGAAATCAGTGACATTTTGAAAGGCTGCTGTCAGTCTTTAACATTCCCAGTTAGTCCGGTGACCTGGCATGTCAGTAAGCAGTTGGTGAGATCAATTTCCCATCGGGGCACTGTGTCACATTTGTGAGGGTGATGATAACTTTGGTTACTGTGAACAACTTAAGAGCAGATCTGGCAAAGACAATGTGAAGACCCTGTTGGGATCTGCGTGAGGGTAACAACAGAGAACAGATACAGAAATCCATTGAACTGAAAAGTAGCTCTGGCCCTTGAGCTGGAAGCTGTGTTTTGTTGTGGTTCTTCTTTGGAGAGTTGGGAAAGGAAACCCTCTCTCCCTGCCGTCCGAGGGGCAGTGATCATGAACATGGGGTGCTTTACCATTGAACCAGAATTTGTGCCCTGTGATGTTTCCATAGCACTCTTTCCTAAGTTTCCTGCCCTTAAATGTCTTCTGGCCAGGCTTCTGAGTGTTTGAAAAGCACATTTTAGGAAATGTTCGAAAATCACGATACCGTGAAGCAGAATGAGCCAATTCACAAACCCTTTCTTGCACCTTTGTGAAACAGAGCGAAGTCTAAAAATGGAGGAAGGTCTTTGAGAGAAAAACTGGACAAGATAGGATTAAACCTGCCAGCAGGGAGACGTAAAGCTGCTAACGTCACACTGCTCACGTCACTGGTGGAGGGTAAGTGAGGCTCCTCACTCCATGGGAAGAGCCTTCTGGGGCTATGTGTGGTATGTGCTGGCCAGATGTTTGGTTGTATTTTGTGTCCATCGGGCCCTTTTATCTTTCCAGGAAGTGAGCGGGATTCTTACATGTCAAAACCCAATTTGCATATCCTCCTACCATCTCACTCTTTCCCCTCTCCCACAAAATTACACTTCCTCAGCCCCCCTTCGTGACCTAAACAACTTGAAAATTTAAGAAGTGCCTGTTTTTCAAGTTTCGGACTCTTTGAGGAGCTCAGCAGTAAATCACTTAAGTTGTTGTGACATCTGTGTTTGAGAAATGCGTGACCATTCCTTCCTGAATTAATTTGGGAATCGTTGACCTGCATCCTGCTCTAAGACTGTCCCGAAGGCTCAGGGTTGTGTGCCCTTTTAGGTTTGGGTTTTCCAAACATATGCTCCCTTATCTCCTTTGTATTGTGCTCCTCTCCTGGAGGAAGAAAGGTTTGCTTTTAGATGGCTTGGGTAGGACTAGAAAAGAGAAATTACACTGAGCAATTTTTTTCACAGCACTTTGCGAAACACACACAGATACAGGAATCTTCAAAACAAAAAGCCAACCCTGCCCTCATTTCTTGCTCTAGATCAACCAGCATCCACTCACTTTCTTGCTTCCTCTAGATGACTGTAGCTTTTTTGATGAGGAATTGACTCAAGATAGGGCATGTTGACATGAACAGACAACTCTTCTGTGTCCCTTTGGAAGCGGCTCAGGCTAGGGGGTGGGGGAGGGGGAGAGGGCCTTAGCATAAGGCAGGTTTAAAAAGGGGCATTTATGATTTAAAGGAGACATGTCATCTTATTTCTGTCTCATATTGGAAGTCTCCCCTTTACAATGAAGCCAAGGGCTAGCTTTATACATTATTTGACAACAGTTCAAACCATGACTTTGAAGAAGAATCCTAGGAGTAACCTTTGTGAATGGTGTCGAAGATGATGCCGCATGTTAAAGAATAAGCAATTGTTCCGTGCCAGAAACTCAGCTATGGTAACAGTATATGAAAAACAATGCCAGAGCAGAAGAACCCGCTCTCCCATTACCCCCAAAGAGTTATATGCAAAAAAGGGGGAGTGGTGGCCTGGGTGTAGCATGAGAATGCGCATGGATTTGAGGGGGGAGTCTGTGGCAGGGAGGCAGTTTCTAGAGCACTGTTATTGTTTGTGATCCGCTCCATTTTATGGAAACAAGCTCTGCGGAGAAGGGCTTTGATGCTCTAATTGGCGCATGCGTTCTTCCGGAGCTGGAGCTAATGGCAGGAAGCCCTGCAGTAAAAACCAACTGGTTCAGGAAATTAAAACCAAAGATTTGAAAATCAACAACACAGACAGACTCGGTGGAGTGACCCTCAAATCCTCTTGGTAATCGTTTTGGGTGAACAGATAATTATATGTGATCAAGTTAAAATTTAAACCCTTAGTTGCTCTCTTGCCAAAAAAAAGTTCAAGGAGTAATTATGAATATCACTTATGGCAGTGTGAGGTTGGTGTGGGGATAGGTGTGAGGCTGGAATAAAAGGAGCATTTTTTAAAAGAGAAGTTAGAAAACTCATTCGGGGTGAGGGGTGGGGTTGGTGGGATTTATGTTTTCGTGTCCTCTTGGCTTTCTGGAACAGCGGTCACATGCTACAGAGAAGGAAATACAAGCCTGAAATGAGAACCCAGTGGTTTCCTTCAGCATCTGGGTTGTGTGAATAAGAGCTCTAGGAGTAGGGGGGGACTCTGTTATCACATGTTGGCCCCTCCACCCTGGTTTTTGATCCCAACTCTTTCCTTCTCTCGCACCCACTTCCTTTCTTCTGCCTCTTGCCAGGAGAAGCCGTCCACCTAGCCAGGGACTTTGGATACGTGTGTGAAACTGAATTTCCTGCCAAAGCGGTAGCTGAATTTCTCAACCGGCAACATTCCGATCCTAATGAGCAAGTGACAAGAAAAAACATGCTCCTGGCTACAAAGTAAGGCATTTATCTCTGCCGGGTCTCTGTCCCTCACCCTCACCGTCAAGAGAAACAAAAATAATTTCCTCACTTGTTCTTCTGTCTCCCCTCCTCCCCCACCTCCTCTTTTCCTTTTGTGCTAAGCAGTGTGGTTGTTAATATTGATTGCGAACCATCATCTGTTTTAAAGGGGAAACATAAAATGGGATTGTTAGTGGTCCCCCCCCCCATCTGTTTTCTATTTCTCCCCATCTTCTCTTTCTCCCCCTTATCAATAATGTGCATGGGTAGGGAGTGGAGTGGAGTGGGGGTTTGAAAGAAGCTGAGTTTGGATTTGTGGCTGGGTTGTTTCAGAAAGACCAGACTCAGATCCTTGGGAGGCAATGGGCTTGGCTAGATCCAGTTTTGTCTCCTGCCAGTCTGTTCTCCAAGGGTGAAGATGAATCAGTGGCCTGCAAAGTGTGCAAGCCAGAAGCTGTCCTACTTCCAACACTAATACTCATTCCATCGCCTACCTCACCCCCAACTCAAAAGTCATACACACACACACACACACACACACACAGGTTTCTATTATAAGTGAGATATACCAAATAGGTTTCGAAATGGCCAAGTTCTAGTCTCATCAGTAGCGGGGCCGCCTAGTCTTCTGTAGGTGCCACATGAAAAGAAAATAATGGTTATGATGTGTTTTCTGGAAATTAAAGATGCTTATTTAGAAGCCCCCTTCATTCCTAAAGTTGATGTCACACAGGGCATAAAACTGGCGGGCAGAGCCGATGAGGCCTAGGACGGGGGGCATGAGCGGGCATTACTGCGGAGGACCAGCTAGGGTGCCCTCACTCTTCCTGCAGGCCAGGCTGCTTCTGCCCCAGGAAGGGAGGGAGGCTCCAGCTTAGCAGGGCCTCCAGCCCCAGGGGCTGAGTGGCTTGCCCACAGGCCGTATCTGCTGGCTTTCAAGGGCTTTTCTGGAATTTCTCTTTTCTCTCCTTCATAAGCACCTCCACTACCACTTTCCCGAAAGATTTTAATTAAAAAAAAAAATTTGAGTGTGCAGGAAGAGAAATGCAATAGGAACATGGAGATGTCTATTTTCTCCCTAACTGCCCTGAATTACTCCCCAAAGAGCAGGATTTTTTTTCCATCTGTTTTGATTTATTGATATTTTTGAAGGCAGCATGGCCCAAGGATGGTTGCTCTTATCAGTTTGGATGCAACCTGATTTGAAGGTGACTGGTGGGTAATTCTGCTCACAAAGGCCGGCTAAGACCCCACAGCGGCCCAGAGAAGAGAGGGTACTCATGGCAGTGTGAAAAGACGGATGGTTGCCCAATAGCGTTGGCAAGATGCATGGGTTCCTGACTCTCGGCCCAACTCTTCCGTTTCCCTGGCAGTGTGTGAACGGAATCCCTGTGACTGCGGTATTTGGTGTGAGGGAAGAAGTTTGATACACTTGAGAGCAATGCTTATGTGTACACATCCTGTGCCTGAGTTTGAAAACATCAGTTGCCGTAAACCAGGCTCTAATTAAAGGTGATCCCTTGTATGACGGATTTGAACTTGAAAGGGTAATCTAGGCTGTAGTCCGTAAGAAAGCAGATCACCAGGCCCTTTCTTCCGCTGCACCTCCGTGTAGGTTTAAGACACCAACCTCTAGGTTTACAGTTGAGCACAAACCACGTGGGGCCTCCAGAGAGAGAGACAGACCCTCCCGTGTGAAAGTACGCATGTAGGAGAGATGTTTTTGTGAAGGCGGAGAGGTCACGGGGTCTCCCAACCTGTGGCTCCCACCAAGTCAGTCTCTGTGAACTTGGGTCAGATCTGCCCCTGCTTGGTCCGGCTTGAGCTAAATGCATCAGTGACTGCTGATTCTGCTCACAGGGGAGCCTCACTTCTCTCTCTCTTTCTCTCTGCCTCCCTGTACCACAGACAGATATGCAAAGAGTTCACAGACCTGTTGGCGCAGGACCGCTCTCCCCTGGGGAACTCCAGGCCCAATCCCATCCTGGAGCCCGGCATCCAGAGCTGCTTGACCCACTTCAACCTCATCTCCCATGGCTTCGGCAGTCCGGCCGTGTGCGCTGCCGTCACGGCCCTGCAGAACTATCTCACGGAGGCCCTCAAGGCCATGGACAAAATGTACCTCAGTAACAACCCCAACAGCCACACGGACAACAGCGCCAAAAGCGGTGACAAAGAAGAGAAGCACAGGAAGTGAGGCGTGTGGCCTGCCAGCACCTCACCAGCCCTGGTACCCACCTGCCCTCCAGCCCCCACTGCCACCCCCCACTCCCACCCCCACACCTTGCAGGCGACAGCTCCGGGAATCCCCTCCTGCTACTGCTACTGCTGCTGCCGCTGCTGCCGCCCCCATCATCCTTCTCCATCAGGCCTCCTGAGCCCCTGGGAGGGGAGCCACTGCAGGCTCAGCCCCTCTGCCTCAACCTCCCCACCGGCACCAACTCCTCTTGCCCTGATGTGGAGCCTAAGCGAACAGAACAGGCTGTGAAGCCAGCAAAGAAAAGTCCTGTCCGCGTTTGTGAACTTTTCAAAACAAAACAAATCAACAGACAGCAACAAAAACTTTTTTCTAGAAAAAAAAAGAACATTAAAAAAATTATATGCGCTTCATGGGACTGAATCACCATCTTCCCTTACATACTTCAGTTCAGATTGTAGCCATACTTAAAACAAACAAACAAGCAAACAAAAAGACAGAAAGGATATTGACATTTTTATCAGTATTGTGAATAAACTTGAACACAAAATACACGACGTTCCATGTCCTGTCTTCAGTGGTAGAAGGTTTTCTTCTCCAAGGTAAAGCGACCAACTTGAACTTTCTCTGGCAACATGATTCATGGTTATATAAGGGAATCAGTGTTCATGTTTCTGTATATATTTATTTATGTGTAATTTAATGGGAATTGTAAATATGGTGAGTCTGTTTTAAGTCCCCCCGCCCCTTTTTTTAATTTATCTGGTGATCTCATTTACCTCTTGTTTAGTGGGTGTTGAATCTTACCTATTAGTTCTCCATGTGGTTCATGGTACTTCTTTAGAAATCCAAGGTTTGGGGGATTTTTTTCCCCTCTGGGATTTATGAATTTTGCCCTGTTGTAGCATGTTAAAGGCAACCATGAAACAGCTGAACAAATTTTTAAAGAGCAAAATAAAATTTTCTATAATTAACATTCCATTTAGCTTTTTCATTGAATTGAAAGGGAAAAAAAAAAAAGGGATATCGGACCCTGCAAAGATTTTTTCAAACTCGAGTGGTTTTATAACCCTTCCTATGTATTGTGGGGAGAAAAAAAAAGTTTATTTTATTCTATTGTCCTCCCTGGAAGCCTCATTCGAGCAATAAATGGAGATGGTCTTTAAACCAAGGGTTAGGAATTTTTTTTCCTTCTCTCTCCCTCTCTTTCTCTCTCTTTTTGTTCAAAGAACTTCAAACATTTGGGACCACCTGGTATTCTGTATCTCCACTGGCCATATTGGAAGCTGTTCTAGTTGTATTGTATTGAGTTGTGCTGGCAGTAGTTTCCATGCCTGTCAATGTATCATAGTCCTTTGTTGCCCAGATAAATAAATATTTGATACACTTTATGTCGATTTTTTTTTATTCAGTGGCTGTCTTTACCCAGGCGTATTTTTGTTCTTGGCAGTATTTTTTATTCAGTATGGTTACAGTAATTGAGTTTAACTCTCCCTTGGCAATTGCTCTTTGCAATAAGCAGCTGAACCCATTGTTTCCCTCAAGTATAATAAAAACTTACTTTCCACTTGGAGTTCAGAGCAGGGTATCATTTAGATATTCCACCGAGTCTGTATTCAGACAAATGACACAATAAAAAACCAATGTATTCTTTTGGATAAAAGATTGCTTGTACTGCTAAAGGAATGACATACTATCTTTTCCTTACTAGACACATTAATTTTATTATTAGAAATAAAAGTTTTATTTTATTTATGTTGATCCCTTAGGGTTTCATTTGTGTTTCAGAAACCAAAATATAAAACCTCCTAGGCCAAATATGAAAATGGAGACAGGGTGGGAAACCCCTGCTTTTAGAACGGGGTAGTTTGGAATCTGCCTCCTAGGATAACTGAAATTTAGATTGTTAGTTCATTACCACAAAGGAAATACTTGCATTGGCTTAGCACCCTCAGGTTTCTCTGGCTAAGATATGTAAATGAGTGAAAACTGGGAGGAGGAAAGGGCATAGAGACAGAAACAGAGGAGGAGCCTGGACAGGGTGGGCACGTTGTGTCCCAAGCATTTACATTTTTTTTTTTTAAAGAGAGCAATTCACTAATGTGCTCCCGCTTAGTGGCTCTTGAGGTAACCCAGTGCATGAGGAGAATTGTATTGTTCCCTGAGATTTCCTCTGCTTGCCCCTGAGTGCCAGCCCAGGGTGCTTTAGAAATGCCCAAGGGCTTCTGAGGTGGGATGCCAAGCAGGTTGTGAATGCTGGGGGGAACACTTGGGTCTTCCACAATCACAGGAGCGAGCAACCATGTGCAGACTTTCAGCAGGAGGAGGACTTCTTCAACAGAAAGATGGCAAATTCAAAGCTGCTTTTGTGAATTGATCTGGAAATGGGGATTTTTAATGATGGTTTGTTTGTTTGTTTGTTTTGTTTTGTGCGAAGAAAATGGAGGCAGTGAAGTGGAAGGCTTGTAGGAGAGGCCATGGGAAAGCACACAGGTTATTTATGCTGCCAGGTGCCTAGGACAACTGGCGGACATTCGTCACTTGTTCATATGGCTTACTATTCCGAAGAATCGAGGAAGCAAAGCATTAGCTAGTGTCCATTTTGCAGCATTTTGCTTTCTAATGTCCTTGTGGGAAGCAGTGTAGAATCCATCTGGACAAACGGAGGGAGGAGAGTTAGTGGAGTCTAAATTCTCTTTTCCAAAGCCAGAGAGCTCGTAACAATGGTGGGTTCTTTCAAAAAAAAATCTCAAATGGAAATCGAAGCCTCAGAACGAAACAAGGCAATTGTTTTTTAAAGCGGTTATTTATTATTTCCTAGAGAGACTGGTTAACTGTAACGTAGATGTAACATAATAATGAGGCGAATGAACCCTAACTGTACATACATTTGACAGAAATGAAATGCATACAGCTTCGTAGCAGGTGAAGTGAAGCATTGTCTATCAGGGCTGATTTTCTTGGCTGCATCTCAGATTGTGTGGGGGATCCTAACCTCAGGCACAATAGCATTCATAAACAGCCATCCATTGCTGCTCTTTCTCCAACAACACATAAATACTCATTTTAAAACGAAAACAATCTTATTAAATACCATTCATTCATATCTGGATTTACAGATGCTTGGTAGGTTGGAAAAGCTGAACCCAATATAATCCTTGCATCCTGAGAAAGACAGAGAGGAAATGGAGGGTTACAACGCTACAAGGTCATAATAAACAACAGTTTCCCAATGCAGAACACTCGTGATTTTCATTCTGCAGTTGGGCTGTTCCAAGATCATGATACTGTTAATATTTTATTTTTACCAAAAAATGGAAAGCAATTACGTGTGTTCTCCAGGGGCAAGGGCACAAGAGAGTTATTAAAAGTAATTTGTACCGACTCTGTGTATTTTGTCTTTCTGTGCCGTGACCGATATGGACTTTGAAAAGCACATGGTGATTCTTTGACGGGTCAGGTATTTATGTACTAACAACAGTCGTTCTTTGGATTAACTCAAATTAAGGAACATAAATTGTATTGGGAGGGTGTTTGTTAAACTATGCTAATTACCACACCCGATCTTGAGAGAACGGACCCCACTGCTTCCAGTTTTAGTTATCACTACCCCCTCTCTTTTCTGACAACCTTTAAAAAAATCACAATCCAATCCACGCCGTCCCAAAATCGAATATGAATCTAATTTGAGCTCTTGATGGAACTACCATCAGGACCGCAATGCCCCGCAGCTGAAATAATATTTAAAATAGGAGGGATTTGACATTTGAGCAGTCAGTGGCTTGAAATACCCAGTTGTACTTAGCTAATTCAGTCCTTAACCTCTGGTTTCAAATAAATCAATTACAGTCAATTCTACTTCAGTTCAGAAGTGCACCGGGTTTTAGTTAATTGAATACATTTTATTCACTTGCTAGGAATATTCATTTATCAAAATTCTACATTTAATGTACATTTCTTCATAGCTCAGGTTTTGTTAGCCGGCACCATTGGAGCACATGTGTCCTGGCTTCCCCAAATCCTGACTAAAATCTAAATGCATCTCTGGGAACTCTTGTCTCTACTCCTTTCTCAACCAAAAGTAAATTCACAAGGATTCTGCCAGGCAGGAGAGCTGCCTGTCCCCACCAGGAAGACAGCTTATGTGGCCATAGACCTTGTGTTAAGTTTAAATAGGTTCAGAACCAAGCTGGATTAATTAAGTTTTTTAAAAGCATAGACCTGAAATATAAATAAATAAATAAATAAATAAATAAATAACTGGTGGAGGGCGAAGAGCATGGTTTCCATTACAGCTTAACTTCTCAGCAGCTGACAGGTAGGGCTGCGGTTTTTTGTGTTTTTTTTGCTCTTAAAGCCACAGTCCCCCTTTCTTAGCCATCTCTCTGCCTCTGCCTCCCCCAACCTTTAGAGATGTGCTTGAATAAATGCCGCATTGATAACTGAAAGCGCTCTGTGGTTACACGTGCCCAAGTGGAGTTGTGCTTTAAACAGATATTGATGTATGCAGCGTTTTATATTTATTGTTCGTAGCATCCTGCTGGCAGCAGTTTACTGTTGGGAAAGGAAAGGGGTTAATTAGCGTCATTATCAATCACTAATGCTTGCCTAACGTGTCCAAAGAATAATCAAGTTAGAGGAGGAGGGCATGAAGCCAACAGCTGCTTCATCCCAGTTACAGATCTCCTCCTAAGCCACTCAGTTCTGGGCTTTGGGGTAGGCGGAATGAGGGAAGAAGATTAGGGCTTGGGTAAAAGGGATATAAAAATCGGGTCAACTTGCTAGAGTGGCAGGAAGTACAATATTAAAAACCACACCACCACCACCACCACCACCAATAACAATATTTTCATTCTCTGAGTTACAGGTGCAGGGATGGTGGAGGTCCTGAGGTTGAGGCTGGAGCGCTGCATCCTGTCCTTTGATTTGCTTGATGATGCAAGTTAAGCATTTGAAGAAACACCTTCATGTTCCCTATCACTTAGTGCTTATGTCGTTTAAAAAAGAAAGAGACATGTAATGCTCAGGGAGAGGATAAGAAGGTGGTGGAGGAGGAGACA